GTTAGGGCACTCGTATCTCGAGGTACCACTGTACAGGAAATATATATATTCACACTTTTCAAGGCAGTGTTCTCACCCTGAGATTTTTCCCTCTTGTCCTGAGGACTGGAGAAGATGGGCCAGGCCCTGAGACCTGGCAGCCCTGGGCACGGCAATGGTAGAAATATAAGCAGAAGTATGCAATGCACAAAATACAGAGCATCATAATTCATTTTCAGCTAGAACATACTTATTTAGCAAACTCAGACTGGAATCCTGCTGGTGCATTTCACTAGCTCTTGCATTTTTTCCAGCGTGTGATAAGAAAAGACAAAATCGGTCAGCTCTGAGCAGCCTACTTCTCCAGTGCCTGCCCTCCTTCACAGCTGCTATGCCTGCAGCCTTTTTCCTTCTGTCAACTCTGGCATAGTTACACTGATGTTGTATAGCAACAGCATTCTGGCTTTGGAGAGTAGGCAAAATAAGCTCAGTGGCCATACTAGATGGAGGATTCTGGTACTGTAGTCCTTCTTAACGTCTGCAGCAGGAGTCTTGTGGTACCTTGGAAGACTAAACTAATTACGTAATGTGATGGAGAAAGTTTTTGTGCATTGGAGTCCACTTCATCAGGTGCTTGAAATGTAACCTTCCATTGCGGATATAAAGACATATGGGGACAGGGTTAGGGTTGACAAATCAAGACTACCCCAGGCCCTGAGTTTTCAGAGAAAGTAATATTTTCAGACTTTGTAGTGAACAGTGTTAGAAGAATCAATTTGGGCTGTCACTCCTCTGTAGTGACTGGTTTACAGTTTAAGCAGTTTCCCAGTCAGATTAATATTATATTTGATGTTATTGTTGGCTTAACATCTGAATATTTCTAACATTTTAATAGTAGATTTGTTTGTTATTTTAGTGAGTGTTTTGCTTTTCTGTTTGCATACAACCCCAAAGGCAATAGCCCTTTGGGTGACATTTCTGTTTGCATACAACCCCAACCCTTTGGGGTGAAGCATGAAATACACACACACACACACACACACTAAACAGAATAGTAGATGGAGCTTTGTGTCCTGCAGCAACAGAGGCATAGTTTAGTTCTTACGGGCTTAGGAGCAAGAAGTACACATGGGCACCTTAACATGGGCACCTCTGCCATCTTGTATGCCATGGGAATGACTGGGGTGGGGCAGGAGGCTTTCTGTGGTTGGAGATCCAAGGGCAACGTCTCTTTCAGTTCAGTGGTAACTGTGCTCTTGCAGAGCAGGGAGACCAGGGTTCACATTCTCTACTCCCTTCAGACAACCATTCTGGGGTCAACTAGATGTGGCGGTCATGGGTATGTGTTCTCACTTGCCTATGAACCAGGTCAGAGCAGGTCTCTTGCTTTAAGATTTAAATAAACTTGTCAGGAGAGGGATAATTGCCCTAGTCACTAGCCAGAGCACAAAAAGGTTGGGTTAGTCAGTGAGGGAACAGCCAGGATCAAATTGGAATTGGAGGACTCTGCACAGCTTTAAGATGAGGTAGCAACTTTGGAGGGCCTGGGAATCAGTTTCAACCCACCAGGTCCTATCATGTACTATATCAAACCCAAACTGGAAGTGATGTCCAGTTCTAGGTTTGGTAAACTAAAGACTAATGGGGAAGGATGGGGTGGGTTATCTGCAGAAACACTCTGGTCTGGAAGAAAAGACAAAAATACAAAGATTTCTTTACAGCTGTCGGAAGTATAAATGCTCCAAAAAGACAGTAATGGCACAGCAGCACATTTGTAATGATTATAATAATGATGATGATTTCTTTGTTGTTATCTGCTATCACGTCCACTTCAACTATGGTGGCCCTGGCTGTATTTACTAGACAGAATGATTTGAGTTTGACACAATTTTAATTGCCATAACTCAATGCTATGGAATTCTGGGCTTTTTAGTTTTGTGAGATATTTAATCTTTATGGCCAGAGAGCTCTGGTGCCACAACAAGCTACACATCTCAGGATTCCATAGGCTGGAGCCATGACAGTTAAAGTGGTGTCAAATTGCATTAATTTTGCAGTGTGGCAGCAGCCTCCAATGAATGAGAGACCTCCAAGTCACCGTATTTCCAACAGCCCAGCTCAGGTCTTACATGCTCAGGGCTGTGGCTTCCTTGATTGACTCTATCCATTTGGAATGTGGTCTTCTCATGATATCTCAACAGTCTCAGTTTAGTTATTTTGGCTTTTAGGGAGAATTCAGGCTCGATTTGCTCCAGGACTCATTTATTTGTCTTTTTAACAGTCCACAGTATCTTAGAACTCTTCTTAGATGACGTGGACAAGCTCCTTGGTAGGGTGAGGAAAACAACTTGCCCTCTCGACCCTTGCCCTGGAATACCCTTATCATAGCTGGCTGTCCGGCGGGGGGTACATTGAGAAGTTCCTCACGGATATCATCAGTATGTCCTTCAGGGAAGGACATATTCCACAATGTTTGAAGGAAGCGGCTGTTAGGCCGCTTCTGAAAAAGCCTTGCCTGGACCCCCTGAATATGAATAATTACAGGCCAGTCTCTCTACTACCATTTTTGAGCAAGGTGATCGAGAGGGCCTTTGCTCTTCAACTCCAAGCTCTCTTGGATGAAACTAATTATCTAGACCAGGGGTAGGCAACCTTTTTGAGCTGGGGGCTGGGTTGCT